ATTTATATACATCTACCGTGTGCCAATTTTCGCAAAGAACAGGAATATTGCGATTACGTGCATGAGAATAAAAAAAAATGTCCCAGAAAATCGTCAGAGTTTAACATAAGTGATATTCATCGAAGTCTATAGAGAGCCTTTTTTTATTTTAAAAAATGAAAGCTGGTGTCTGCACTTTTCAAATACGAGCTACATGTGTTGCTTCCTAAAGAAAACACGCTTTCTAAAGGTACTCACCTGTGGCGGAATGGAATCACGTGACATATTATCTATTCTTAGCAGGTCAACAAGAGGTTAATCCTATGTAAATGTACTCACCGAACAGATTCAAAATCATGATACTTTTAAGTAGAAGACATAGAGCGCAATGTTGTTCAACAAAGATATTTTCACACAATCTGTATAAATATAATATACACATTATATTTTGATGTCGACTTTGAACAAATCTGCGCTCGATGTTTACGAAAGCTCTGAAGTGGGTACCTGTCACAAATTTCTTTTGATATTCATGATAATCAAAGGACCCCACCTTCAAAACACAGCTTCGCGTGTTCTTTCTTGCAATTATTTGAAATTTTTAAACGCTGGAGCATATTCTACAGACAAAAGAGAACAATGTAATTTACTTTTTAAGCTTTTTAATGAAAGTTTAAAATTTGACGAGTAACTGGGGACCACAGATAATGGCTTATTGAGACTTCTTCTTTACCTGTTCCGAATTCCATGTCAACAAAATCATCACAAACAATTGGAAGCTGCCTTTCATCAATGGGGTGTTGTACAGAACAGCCATGTAAATGCTGATACCGAGAATCGAGGGGGTGTACAGCAACAGCTGTGTCTCCCAGCATTGTCTCTGGTCGAGTAGTTGACACAACAATTTCTTCATCTGATAAAAAAATCTTGGAGAATTTTTAATGGTACAAGCAGTATATTTTACTATAATTTTAGTAAAGTCTTGTGATTTTTTGGTTGAATTTCCCTTAAAGTGCACATGCACTGGTAGCTGAAAGTCCTGCCATTTGTACTTTGTAGAATTTCAAATTCAAGAGAAATACCGGTAATAAAAATTTTAATATGTTCATCAAATCAAAAGTGGGAAAGCAAAATAAATACCTTTTCATTTTAAAATGAACAAGCAAAGTTGTCCTCTTTTAAATGTATTTCAAAATGTTTACTCTTTGGAAATCTTGCTTTCCAGCATAATTTTGTTCTTATCTGCATTTTCTCAAATACATGTTGTTTTTTTCTCATAAAATAGGAGGTTGTGGGGTTGAAAAATAACAAACTATTTTTGAAAAAGAAAAAAAGTGTACATATTCATGAAAGTACTGGGTACATGTATATCAAAAATCTACCTTTTCCCACCAAAGGATATGCAAATGAGGTCAAAGTACCAAATTCCACTTTATCTTGATATCCAGGAATGTTTAGATGTTCTCGCTTTGTGAGGGATATGTTTTCAACCTATCAAAAAATTAAATCAAATCTTTTGTACAGATCTTCTGTAACTTTCAACAACTATGCAGATAGATATGTTCTTGATATTTGAAATCAAACAAGCAAAATGTCTTATTCATTGATAAACTGATATCTGTAATATTTTTGCAAAAATGTGATATCATTGTCTGTAAATAAATTATCTCAATATCTGATAGACTTAAGATGACTTACCTCAATATCCTATATCAAGGACTTAAGATGACTTACCCTAATATCTGATATCACATATTGAACTTGACTTAATTCTATATCTGATATCACAGATTGTAGTTGACTTACCTCTATATCTGATATCACAGACTGTAGTTGACATACCCCTATATCTGATATCACAGACTGTAGTTGACATACCTCAATATCTGATATCACAGTATGTAGTTGACTTACCCTAATATCTGATATCACAGACTGTAGTTGACATACCTCTATATCTGATATCACAGTATGTAGTTGACTTACCTCGATATCTGATAACACAGACTGTAGTTGACATACCCTATATCTGATATCACAGACTGTAGTTGACTTACCCTAATATCTGATATCACAGATTGTAGTTGACTTACCCTAATATCTGATATCACAGACTGTAGTTGACATACCTCTATATCTGATATCACAGTATGTAGTTGACTTACCTCGATATCTGATAACACAGACTGTAGTTGACATACCCTATATCTGATATCACAGACTGTAGTTGACTTACCCTAATATCTGATATCACAGATTGTAGTTGACATACCTCTATATCTGATATCACAGACTGTAGTTGACATACCCCTATATCTGATATCACAGACTGTAGTTGACTTACCCTAATATCTGATATCACAGATTGTAGTTGACATACCTCTATATCTGATATCACAGACTGTAGTTGACATACCTCTATATCTGATATCACAGACTGTAGTTGACATACCCCTATATCTGATATCACAGATTGTAGTTGACATACCTCTATATCTGATATCACAGATAGTAGTTGACTTACCTCTATATCTGATATCACAGATTGTAGTTGACATACCTCTATATTTGATATCACAGACTGTAGTTGACTTACTTCAATATCTGATAGCACAGGTCATGTTTGACTTAACTCAATATCTGATATAACAGACTGTAGTTGACTTACCTCTATATCTGATATCACAGACTGTAGTTGACTAACCTCGATATTTGATATCACAGACTGTAGTTGACTTACCTCAATATCTGATATCACAGACTGTAGTTGACTTACCTCGATATCTGATAACACAGACTATAGTTGACTTACCTCGATATCTGATATCACAGACTGTAGTTGACATGACCAGTTGACCATTCTGTTTTTCCTGTAGATCAGACCCTCATCATACAGCCTGACAAAGGCTTCAGTTACAGCCTCAGACAATTCCTTGGGAATATATCAGTTAATGACAATTATAATTTACTGTAAGTATATTGATTCATTTTCAGTTGAAAATGCTCATTGTAATATTTAAGTTCAATGAATTCCTTTTAAAAAAAATACCTTGTCAAGAGTGAAACAAGCTCTGCTCCAATCCAAGGAAGATCCCAGTTTCTTCATTTGATCATATATAGTTTCTCCCTTGCTATGAATAATGCAAAACTAACAAGGCTTTATGGATTGAAAAATTAAGGATAGACATTATATATTACAAATTGTAAAGTTAACTACCCAGTCACCATTAGAGTTTAAAATCAGTCCAATAGTTTTCTGAATACAGTGAATTCAAAATATAAATACATATATGTATAATGATGACTTTATTGTCACATAAAGACTGTTAACTTGCCATTATGTGTTTAAGAAAATTTATATTTGTAGATTGACCCCAAAAGCAACATGATTTTCTGATAGAGATACACACCTTTGCTTCCAGTTCCACACCTCCTGGACAAAAGCGTCCCGACCAATGTCATGTCTTGTCATCCTTCTGTCCTTCCACAGTCTCTTCTCTACCACCACCTGGGTGGCAATTCCAGCGTGATCACATCCCGGGATCCATAGAGTCTCATAACCTCTCATTCTATGCCTGAAACATACATGCAGGTTAAATTCACATAATAGGAAAAAAAAACTTTAAAAAAATTTGCATGTGTGTGGAAACAGAAGTGAGTAAGAATAAAAGTAAATTGAGGGATACAATAAGAAACTTCTCTTTCAATCATATTTCCAGAAATGCTCCCCAGACTATATAAAATTACCATCTAACAAGGGCATCTTGGATAGTATTTGTGATTGCATGTCCAAGATGTAAGGTTCCTGTGACATTTGGGGGAGGGAGACACATAACAAATTTCTCTCTTGAAGTTCCTCCTTCACTCCCGTATTCTGGTGTAAAATATCCCTGGGCCACCCACCAATCATACCAGGCTGCCTCCACAAACTCAGGACTGTAACTTCTAGGTAAGGGACAGGTGACATCTACCAAGAAAAAGCTCTAATTCAGAGGGTATTCCTCACATTTAGCAGTATGACCATGTAATTTCATTAAGACCTTATTCCTGTGATACCAGCATAATTTAACATAATTCTGGTATCATAGGATAAATACCTATGGATATGGTCTCTGTCCATGATTTTACAATTAATTATTATACACGTATACATAATTTTTAATATGCTAACTTGTCTAGCATATATTGAAGCACATAATAAGAATTATCCATTCAAAAGGTAATTCTGTTAAGACAAACATTCAGAAGTTCAAATATAAAACTAGTTCAATTTCATGTAAGTGAACTTTTTATGACTATTACAAGTTAAGCAATGTAAGCAGTGAAAGAAAAGTGCCACAGAAACCTACCCTTCTTGGCTCCAGGTTCTGTTGGCACATCATATGTTTCTGATTCATAAGTAACTGGTCCTCTTTGTGTTTTGGTCCTTTTCCTCTCTGTATTGTTCTGCAATTAAAATAAAAATAAAAAGCTTCGAACAATCTGGAAAAGTCTTTTCATAATTTACTATATCAGTATACTGCATCAAGGAATATTCTTGGGTAAAATGTAAATGCTTCCTTCTGCAATGACAGTCTTTTTAACGTACCTTGTTTTTACTGTGAGTCGTACAAAATCTGCATACTGGGGTGTCATAAAACGAAGATCGAATGAAAAGAGGCTTGTACAATTTTACTGAAAAGTCTCGGTAAAATTTTCTCATGTAACACCAGGACGCTGACATATTGGCTAACTTTTTACCCTCCTAAGTAAAAGAGCTATAGAATCGTCTGGGAGTTTTAATTTATTCCGGAACAAATACTTATATTTAAACAGAATGTATTTGACAGTAAATAAAACGTTTCTTATGAAACTGAAAGATCTAATATAATTTAAATTAATATCATGTACCATTCAGATATCTATGCATATAAGAAAATTTCATTATCGTTTATGGGTTTTGACATTTAGAATTTAAGCGTGCAATTTACATTGATGCTTCTCTTTCGGCATGGCGAGAAAAGTGGCGAGGATAATTGCTTGTAAAACTCATTAACCTGTTTATGCCAATACCTGGGGTATTCGGCATGGCAAGTGTTGCAGCTGCTAGGAAGTTAGAATGCAAAGACTTGCATGGATATTTAAAAACACTCCCTCACAGTATCCTTGATAAATTGTACAATCACCCGGCAACCTGTCTTGCGGTATTTCGGTAAATAACATTTTAACATGAGAAACAAGAAACAATGTAAGTTAGTAATAATGATAATACTTTTATTGTTAATTATTTTATTTTTGCAGACAACTTCCTCAGCTATCCAAACATTATGTTATGCGAATGCTTTTCATTGAACAACCAGTATCTCAGTCTGCTGTTGGTTTATGGGTTACCAATGAACATAATGAGTAAGTATGTGTACCAGTACATTTGAGTGAAGAACTAGTTAGTTAAATCTCCATCGTTATGTTGACCCAGTAGCTTATTTAGCAACTACACTGATGACTTTTTGTGAATTGTCAAAGTTCCCAATGTTCCTTGGGAAAACATTTTCGCCATATCTGAATCTCAGTGAGACTGAATAATTATCTGTGAGATGTGTCGAGACAAAATTTTGGGATTGAATGTCTCTTCAAATATCAGACCAGTGTCACACACAGTGATTTAATAAATCTTCCCAAACTTTGGCCGCTTAATACAATCAAAGTAAGTTGAAATGAAGTCCCTGTCTTTTTCAACTTTTCACTTTGGACATTCTTTTAACTCCTAATCACTATAAAATTTTCATTTCTTACCTTTAAAAGGTATGAATCCAACCAAAATGGAGTTGTTGATTTTGTTTCGTTGCACTGATATATTTCTTTTAACCTCCATTGCTGAAAAGTTCAAGCAATAATCTGCTTCAAATACATCATTCTACTATCACCATGATCACTATAGAAATGTGTTATTGTGCTATCATGTTCTTTTATATTTTTATTCAGTACTGAGTTTTATTAGTTTCTGAATGTTTCATTTTTACAGAAAACAAATGATATTGTTTGGTTTCGGTTTCTCTTAATATGTTGCCTGGTATTGTTTTTAATCACAGAAATGTTTACAAACAAATGTACTGGTAAAAAAGAAGTGTTTTTAGTGCATACTTCATCAAGTCCCCACCAAGTTAATTATGAAAATGAATAAGATTAACTCTTTACCCCTTAATGCCACGATTTGACGCACTGGCCATATCCTTAGAGTGTTTGCCAGTCTGCCCCTTAGAGCGTTTTAGATGAATTGGAGTGCAGTTCAAAACTGAACTAATAAGGATAAAAATATTTCATTTATACTATGTATTATATATCTTTGGATTCATTATAAATTAAATTTTTCAAATCTGTTTACATAATTTCGATCAGAATTTTATGTTAAAAAAATAATTCAGGTGAAAGAAAATGAAAATAGAAAAATAGATATTTTCAACATGTAAACGGCTTTAATAAGCCAAAATTGTCTGTATAAATAATAAAAAATATGTGTGATGATATAATTGATGGTTAAATTACTAAAGTTCTACTTTTTAGGGAACACAAATATGCTTCCAAAGTTTTATCTGATCTGAGAGTGTGGCATGAACAACAAATGCAAGGGGGTCTGCTGGGCTGGATTCTGAACGAAACATTTCGCTCCAATATGAAAGTAGCCCTGCTTGGAGGGTAAGACTCACAATATTTAAACAGATCACAAGTTATTCATTATTGATTTAATTGTCTTAATTATTATTCACTTAGGTAGTATTTTCTTTAAACTCTTATGAGTTGTTGACAAAGTGAACTTTATGTATCTTACAGAGGACTGGATTCCAAGATTTCTGGAGGACCTCTACCCCCAGACAAACACGCCAAGGACATTCCATTTTTAGATAAATATGCTCTGGAAAGATGGGAGGTATTGAATTGAACATCTTTTTTTTTTTTTTTTTTTTTTTTTTTTTTTTACATCAAAATAGCTTTAAATAACTTTCTGAATTCAAAGATGAGACAAAATTTAGACAAACTATAAGGATTCTTTGGGTCTTTTTTGACACTTTTTACCATCAGAATGTTTACAATTCCTTTGTTTTTTGCAGTGTGTTCTCCATTTTATGGTGGGGTCCACAGAGGGGACAGAGGGAGTCAGTAGAGATATCATTGATGTTCTCCTTCATGCTGGACTCATGACCACGTAAAATTCTATTCACTATTGTTTGTCATTTAAAGTCATTACTATGTGTTATTATTTTGTGTCGTATGAAAATCTTCCTATCACCAAAAAGAAGACAAAATAAAATGTTATAATCCATTTTAAACATTTCTTAGTTGATAATATCAAAAGGAATCATTTATAAAACTTGATAATAGGGATGGTGTGGACCCTCTGCCGTCCATTACTCCGGCTGGTTTTCAGTTTCTGTTGATGGATACAGGATCACAAGTCTGGTATTTCATGCTGCAGTATTTGGACACTGTTGAGGTATCTTTTTTTTAACCTCAAACTTGCAACTGTTACATTTAGTAAATAAGGTGTTACCGGGGTATTTTGAATCTTTAGAAATTTTGACGAAGCTTGAAAAAGGAAAAAATATCAGAAATCATCATTTTCATGACTGCTTTTGCAGAAAGTACATGAAATCTCTATTTTTAAAGTTATGATAAACAAGTTTGGTGAAAAATTTGTTCCACTTTTCTGATACATTGTACATGTATATATTCTTTTGACAGAGTCGTGGTATGGACCTTATAGACTGTTTATCCTTCCTATTTCAACTTAGTTTTTCAACATTAGGAAAAGTAAGCATTATTGGTAATATTGCAGGAATCTAATTTGTAATTAGGGCCCTGCAAGGATTTGCGGGTGCCCTATAGTAATCACTCTGTCTGTCCGTCCGTCCGTCCGTCCGTCTGTCTGTCTGTCTGTCTGTCCGTCTGTCACTCTTCCGTCCACAAATTTTCTGTTTTTTTCTAATAACTTTTTTTATGGTTGCCCAATCAAGTTTAAATTTGGTATGGTAGTTTAATAGGCAGAAAGACATATTTTGATGCTAAGTTTGATTCTGTATGTCTTCTAGTTTGGAGCTGGGGTGGTGGGGTAGATTCCTAAACTATGCATAAGAATGAACGGGCAACTTTTTTTATGGTTGCCCAATTAAGATCAAATTTGGTACGGTAGTTCAGTAGGCAAAAATACATATTTTGATGCTAAGTTTGGTTCTCTATGTCCCTTGGTTTGGAGCTGGGGTGGTGGGGTAGATTCCTTAACTTTATATAAGAATGCATTGGCAAAGAGAGATAACTGCTGAAGATGTTCCCATTCAGTAAACTGAATGCTACTTGGAGTCCCATGAGATTAATTAGCTTTCCTCCTGAAGAAATTCCAGAGCATTATCTTTATCTGTCACTTTGAGATTAATTACCACCTCTGTCTGCAAATGAAGTTTGTTTTGAAGTTAAATCAATTTGGAATTCTATGAAATACTCTGATATGTGGATTTAAATATAAATTTTTATTATTTATTTTTGTTTGATAGTTATGATTTCATTGAATCCTAAAAAAAGAAATAGATTAAAGAAGATTTTTTGATTTACCAGGGTACTTTTTTTTTTTTCACTTTTTTCCTTTTTTTTTTAAATATATTAATTCAAGAATGTTTTTAATTTTTAATGTAGTTGTATAAAAACTCCATTCTATCATTAATACTGAAAAAAGTCCTTATTGTAACTTTAGAAGAAAATGATGAGAGAGGTACTATTAATCCCTTGGGATTAATTATCTAGCCTGCTGCAGAAAATTTAGTAGGCTTCTCTTTATCTGTCACTTTAAGATTAATGAAAACCTTTGTC